ATCTGTGAAATTGCGCAAGAGTTCCATCTTCTTTTGTTTAACGAATGAAAATTCTATCCTCGTCTGTATCTTTAAGGTTATACCTACTGACAATTTATATGTATATATCTATTTCTAAATTGGTTGAATAATGCACTTTTTGGAAATTACTGCGAATAATATACGAATTTAATTTAGAGAGAACGCTAATAAATAAATTAAATAATTTATATATAACGAGGGAAAGAATTCATTGCTCTTATTTGAATTCTAAGTGAGAAGAGAAAATAAAAATGAACGATTGCTATAGGACTTTGGAGATTTGTATAATAATAGTAGATAAGTATGTTACACTTGTCCACTATATTTTAAACATATATATTGTAGATTTTCCTAGTGTAATTTTTCCACGAATATTCTTTTTGTAATCGAAACAAATTTCTAGCACGTCAAAAAAGCATAAATTTTTCAACCAATCTAATAATCGATCATGCTAGATGAAATAGCTCCTATATGCACCTCGGAAAAAATTGAATACGAGAAGAAATAAACATTACAAAATTGAATACATATTATTGCAAATTATAGAAAATTATTCTAAGAAAATTCGTGACAATAGTGATAACGTTGAAAATAAAATTTTTAATTAAAAGTTTGAGAACCGTCATTAGATCAGCCATAGAAGAATGAGTGTTAAAAAGGAAGAACGGTGTAAGGTATCATGGAATGTGATATTTTACAGAAAGTACATCGATAAATTTGTTGGGAAAAAGTGGAAAGGGAGAGAAAAAGTGGGAACCAGGGAAATTTGGGACAAACAAGTTCGGGGAGAGAAATTAGGCGATCTTAACCACTCATTCGAGTGGATAATCGAGTCACGTCGTCGTCGAGGCCAATTATCTTTGGTTTGAAAGTCGGCTAATGCGATTTCGCTGCAACTTTATCGTCGTCAATTCCGTTTCCCTCGGTGGCTTTTCGAAAATTACGGTTTGATGGATGCGAACGAGCAAAAAGGGGCCACCATCGAACGCTCGTCCGCTCTTTCTGCCACTGTTCGTCTCTCTGTCTCTCAGGTATAAAAGTCACGGCAGCGACAGCGATGCCTCAAGTGATAAATAGATTACGTGCACGCGGCTCGAATAATTTCCAGTGGAACCAGCGGCTTTCCGCCGCGTAAACGCGTAACCAAAGACCGATCCTCTGCGTTTTGCACCTTCCTACTCGAGTTCCCGTTTGATGTTTCGTTTTACGTCCTTTTCGCCTTTTCCAAGGATTTATTTTTCCTTTGTCGAGCGAAAAAGTCGCTGGCAATTCACCGAGTGTCTCGAGAACCGTGAATTTCGGGCTTTTTAATCGAATGGATTCCGTGGGACGAAGAAAATTCTTGTAAATTGATGGAAATTAATTTTTCTTGGTCTTTTATTATATTTAATATAAATATCCTTGAAGAATTCTAAAAATTTATAGCATTTAAAAAGGAATAAACAAATTTACGAAATTTCCTTTGAATTACTGCAAAATTAATTTCTGCCCCTATTCTATTAATTTAAATATAACTATTTTTGAAGAATTTCTACAGTTTCTACTATTCTATATAGAATTAAACAACTGTGAAAAATTTACTGTACAAATTTGCTGTAAAGTTTACTGACAAAGATTGTATATTTCATTCCAAAAAATATTTATAAAAAGGATGTGAAACTCTGATTCTCGACAAAATTATATATAGACGTTTATTTTAATCGTCGGCAATTATTCTATCAGCGAGATTGAAATTTAAATCCGAGAGCTGAGAATTATTCATATTTATTCTATTAATAATTCATATTTGTCTCGTGTCGGGCAGCAGCACAGCTGCACGTGTTCCGAACTTCTTAATCTTCGTTTTCTGACGACGTTCGCCATGGGTGCGACGTCGCGACGCCTCGATGTATCGATACGATATATGCATGTACTCGAGGAGGAACGTCGCGCGAAGAAAAGCATCTCCCCTTGCGAAATGTGCCTTCGACCCACTTGAATTTCGACTTGACTCCCCGATCATCGGTTATCCGCATATAAATTACACCGGTGACAGCGACACCGCAATACCTATGATAAATAAATAGATCACCCGGCTAGCAAGATTCCCCTTCTTTCATCACGATCCACTTCCTAAGGAAATCATGGAATAAGTTGTCCGCCATTCAGAAATTCCCGCACGGTCCCGGTTGTCTCGATATTAATCTGCGACTGACAGACGAGTCGAAATCGATTCGATTCGACAATCTGATGATAGTAATCTTTCAAATTATTTATTTAATCTTATTTTTCCTTATTCTTTTATCGTTCATTCAAAATTGTCATATTATTATTGACCCCTACTACTGACCCCTATTATTACTGACTATTACTATTGACCCTTTTATTTTCTATTATCTATTTATTATCGATTAAAAATCGTTGTCATTGTTATGACTAGTTGACAACTAGTCGTTTATAAAACATATAATGTTTGGAATTATTAATAGTCATTTGATGCATTAATTGACATGCAATATAGAGGAAGCGACAATACCAACAGAAAAAAATCCTAATATTTATTTTCAAATCAAACTATAGATTTTATCTGGATATATATATATATAT